AAAGTAACTTTAAAAATTACCCCTTTCAGATTTCAAAAGTGTATATGATAAATGCTTTAGCTTTTTGGGTAGATAAGTGAGAGTGAATCTTAAGTATAACTTTATTTATATGAAAGATCTCACATTGAATTGTATATGCAGTACTCATAAGTCGTTAGATAATAAAACCAAACACTTTTTTGTAATCTTTAAGAAACTGACTCTTCTTCCTTTTCCTTTCGGAGAAAACTGACGAAACCACAAAGCAAAAATACCAAATACGAATTTGGACGTCCGTTTAGAGGAAAGTGTCATTAAAAAAAAAGTTAGTGACACTTGAATAAACTTTCAGTGGCTACTTAGTCATTGTAGCATGCATTTCTACAGAACTAAATTGTAATCCTTCAGAAAGTAAAGACAGAGTTTTGATGTTTAATTGTGTAGAAACTGGAGTGACGTTGCCACTGACTAATTGTTCATTTGAGTGTGTGAGGTTCTGAGAGAGGGAAAGAGAAAAGCAGATGTAGGAAAAAGAGAAGGTTGGGGGAGGAATAAGAAAAAAAAGAACAGAGAAGGCGACTTTAACACTAACCACAACCAGATGGGGCGGCGAGGGAGAGCCACAGTGCAGGAAAATTGAGCCATGTGAAGAAAAGGCAACTCTTGGACAGGGGGAGGGAGCGACAGCTCAGGGGGAGGAGCAATGGAGGAGGGGATGGGAAGGCAAGTGAGGAATTTTTTCCTATAATGATGGTTTTTTTTCTCCCCTTCACTGTCTCCGGAATGAGGGGGAGGCTTTATGTAATGGGCAAGATGCAATCACAGAGAAACTCAGAACGTAGTTCCTTTCTAAACACAGCTATGCTGCCTTAGAGAAGAAAAAAAAAATCCAACATACTGTATTAATCCAAAAGTCTCCTCCATTTTATAACATGTTTTCTTTTAAAACTCATACTGGTTCTGCATCCAACTTTTACCTTTTATCTCCTCTTCATCACCGCAAAACAAATGAGTAACGGATGTTGACACAGACGGGAGGAAATGACACAGAAACTGACTTCATTTGGGCGTTAGAGCGTCAAATCGTGTCATATGATGACCGGAGTGTCCGCTGTTAGTCGTGGTCACAAGTAGCTGATGATCTGGGCGAGGCTGGGCCACCCCCAGTTCATTATACAATATACTTTCCAAACATTTAGGAAATGCCATGTGAATTCTGGGAACCACTTCCCTTCGCTCTTAAAACCACACTGGAACTTTCCTGCCACGTGATGTCAAAAACAATCCCTTTAAATTCTGCTCTATGTGTGTTGATTTGTTTGCTGTAAATTCACATCACATATCAAACTCTTTACTACGTCACTGTCCTACTAAGTTCACATCTTGTGACTGAGGAAAACCGCTGAATTTGATGCCACGTTCACAAAATGAGTTAAATGACTTTTTCTAACAGGCATACTCATAATAGGTCATGATAATCAAACCACAGTAGACTTTTGATAAATAAAGAGTTTCTACAAGTCAATCAAGCTGAGCTATGACTAGGAAACATTCTTCACACTAATATAAACCACAACGAGCCCGGAGACCTTGCTGAATCACAATAACCAATGAGAGTGATGCAGCAGAAGCACATTCATGCAGCAGGAATAAGATTTTCCAGTTGTTCAGCTTCAGTAAGCTTTCCTTTCTTGGCTTAAAAGAGTTGAACCAATGGTCCTCTGATATTCCTATCCCTTTCCCCCTTTAAGAGTAAGATGTTATATCCAGGACAATTTGCATTTTATTACACTATAAAAGAGTCATTATGTAATGTTTTTTGGCCTTTTTCTCATTTCAAAACTGTCTGGCCTTGGTTCCCCCTCAACGATGAATTATTTCTATCTGTGAACATTGGTTTTTCCATGTTTCAACACGAAAATGAAGCTCCAGAGATTTTGGAAGATGAATCTCAGGAGCTGATTTAAAATAAGTTTAATCAGCCTGTATGATAATACCAGTTATTATATACTCATAGCTACAAGATCATGACTGCTATTGGGTCATGTGTTAAATGTGAACATCAACATAAGCTCCCAAACATCTGAATTCTCAACTGTCCTTTACGGTGTTGCTACACAAAGAAATTGTATAAATGTTAGTTTTGAAACAAACAACTGCCTACCTTAATATTCTTCTATCTAGGTTATAATGGTTTAACATTTGCTCTTTTTGAACTTTACAATATGAATTAATATAGTTTTCTGATGTGACGGCAATGACTACATGGAAAGATTATGCAATATTTTTTAAATACCGTTGTTTGGAGTAATTCTGTGTAGTGTCTTACCTAGCAGTTCCAGTGAACCCTATATTAAGTAATTTTACACCTCATCGTTTTGAAACAGTTGTTTATGTTGTGGCCTTTTTTCTTAACCCAGGAATATCTTTGTAGTAATAAGTCATTGCGTGCACAGGGGCTGCTAATTGTATCCCGTCACTGATTAGCCATGACTCTCAATTCCGTCTAATTAGTGTAATCTTAAAAACAACTTTTGTCGTTGCTTACAGTGTTGAGAGAGTGAATGGGAAAGTGAAAACAAGGTACTTTTTCTGGAGAGATAAGATAATATAGTAGTCATAATAAACAGAAGAACCTTGAACAGAGACCTAAAAGCTCCTGGTGTACTCAGTAGGTTTGTGATGGTATATGTTCCGAACCCCCCATAGACGCAGCCTTGTTTTGCTGAAAAATAGTGACTGCATAAGAACAGTTTTGTGCAAAAGTGTCAAAACCTAACAAAAAACTGTTTATTAAACTGCTAGAAATGTTTTGAATTTGAGTTTCTTTTAGCTAGTAGAAATTTGCCTGGATGTTGTTTTGAATTCATAAAGAGAGAATTTCTCTAGGACTCTCCAAAGATTATGAATGTGTTACACATCTACTGACTGTGAAACAAATTGCTCCTCATGGATAATAGAGATTCTTGAACCTTGAAAACTGAGAATGTTCTGACTGCTGTTTACTGCAAATGAAACAATGATGGTTCATAAATATTCCACACAGTCCCAATTAAAAATAAAGCAAAAAAAAAAAAAAAATCTAACAACCACTTCATCTCATGTCAAACTGAATTCAAAGAGTTTCAAACACTCCCTGAACAAACTGTTTTAATAAAAAGCAGGACTATTTTTAAGAAGACTAATTACTCATGGCAAAACATGAATGTTTAATCCTTGTGGCTTTCTTACAAACTCTTTATATCAAGGCTTATCTGAAATATTAAACAGGTAATGCAAGCTGTGGTCTCATCAGAAGTTCATTGATAATACACCTTGTTCATGAGCACAAAGGTATTTTTAAAGCTTGTAATTTATTTTTTTTTATTGCAAAGAACTAAAGGCATTGACTCCATTCATACCTGCCACTGAAATGGCTTCTTGTACTCGCTGTGGGTGGGGCCTACACCAGATGTGGATGTGGTTTAACAGGATGTGGGTGGGGCTTAAATCTGTCCATAGTTTTAAGTCTGAAATTGATATAGATTGATCAGAAGTTGCTATATGTGTTGTTTGAATGCTATATAAAGAACAGCCTCAAAAATGAAACAAAAAAATAAAAATAAAAACTATTTACAGAACAAGTTTTTGTGCATGAATACAATTTACGCAGTAGGAAATTATGAACTACTAAAGTATGCATAAACAAGAGTTGTCATTCTCAACAACTTCTTATTCTTTTTTAATTTATGATCAAACTGTTATTTATTTTGTCTTTTAATTATTTATTTTAATAAAGAATTAATAATGTTAATGTTACGATGTGTGTGCATGTGTGTGAGGGAGAGAGAGGTTGTTCTGTTCAGCTATACTGTATGTGTGTAAGTGGTATGTAGGACTGCTTATTTTTAATGATTTCTGTAACTTGGTGATTCATGCAAACATCCAGTGATGGCAAACAGAAATAATAGGTCATCCTTGTTCACTGTATTCTTCTCAAAATCACCGCATTCCAACTGATTTTATATCACCACCAGCCAAACTAAGAAAAAGCAGACGATAAGAAAAAAACAAAACAAAAAAACCAACCGAAGTTGAGAACGTTCTGTCTTGTCAGATGAACCGTGCTTGTTACAAAACGGCTCAGCCCTGATAGTCCCACAGTTTGAAGTTATTATAATGAAGGTCACAAGAGGATGTCCGTCAGTAAAACATGTACCTGTTTTAATTTGACAGAATATTGACATATAGATAAGTTAGTAACTGGACTGTGGTCTAATGTGTACATTTTGGTGTATACTTAATATATTTTGTGTTTTATTGCATGGATGGATGGATGGATAGATGTTTTATTGCAACAAGTCAAAGTCAAGCCACACCCACACTCTGTAAAGAAAACTCAACATTTTGGACAAATTTTGATGCCTTAAAATCACACTGACCAAGTCTGAAGCTGATTTGGAAAAATCTGTTAAAAATTCAATATTTTTAAGACGCCAAAATGTTGTCTTTGCTCCAAGATGGATTGCTTCCTATTGAATTTAGGCCATATCTCCAATAAACATTTTTTTAGGCTGTGGGGTTGAACATATGTTTTTATTATCTGTACTGTAGTCTACATAAAACCATTTGAAGGGGTTGATATTCAAGGCAGTACTGTTGGGACATTTTACCATGACCATTTTTTAAATTCATTAAAATACAAAGTTTTCTATCTTCCATTTTCCATTGACATTTGTGCAAAAATACATGTCTTATATTGAAGGTCTAGACCAAAACAGTCAAATTATTTGACAAAAATTAGACAAGTCTTTGATGTTTGGACCTAATAACTGTGGCTTTCGAGGGTATTCAGATCAGTAATTAAAATGTATAGTATATTTAATGAAACAATGCTTTATTTTCCAAAGCACAATGAATGAGTGAGAGAGATGCTGCAGACCTCACTGTTACTGGACTCTGGGTGCATTCAAACGAGACATTTTGGACAAGTCAAAAATACAGTGTATTAAAGGTTAAAGAGACAGAGATGTAATACGTACAGACGTAGAAGGAGCTGGGGGGAGCAGTCCCATCCAGTTCAAGCTCCATCAGGCTGCTGATTTGCTTGTCATGTCTCAACCAAAGAGCCACACCCAAGATTACGCCTCCTGCAAGCTGCAACACAAAACACATTTAAATTCAGTCAATGCATTACAGCACAAACACATTACTGCTTGGTATGTACAGTTTTCTGATTGGTGTTCAATTGTCCACATTCATTCAGCTCCATTTGAACCTTTCTGGGTTCTATAAAGTGTTTTACAATGTTTTTCATTCAGCCACCAACTCTCACTTGTACACTGGCTTCTGTTWCATATTTTACTCTCTATGTACATCCATTTGAGTTTTAGACTTAATATGATCTCTAGGCCCAATGTGGTGAAATAAAGCGGATTTCCTGAAAGAAATTTGATGACAAACAAAACGTAAGGTTATGAATATAACCACGGTTCCTTGAAGGAATGGAACGAAGTACAACACACAGTTGTATATGGGACACGCGCACCCTCGAGCCCCTGGCTGAAGCCACCTCTAATCACGTCTTTAGACCGGTGACGTGGTGACATTGAACGTCGGGTGACAGGCTCCGCCTTCACCCTATAAGTTCCGAGTCACCAGCGTCATTACTCAGATACCGCCCTTCACYGAGCCTTTGTGATGCGGGGCCAACAAGGTGTTGTACTTAATGGTGAATGAAATAAAGAAAGTGGCGGTACTTTGTTTACTTTGAGCAAGCGAACGTCGTGCTCACCAGATAATTAATCCACCAGATAATTCGGAGGCGGTCTGTTTGGTGAGTTTCACTCCAGGAGCTGCTAGGCTCACTTTCAAGCTACATTCAGACCGAGCTCTGTTTACTGAACCACCGACTGCTGACATCATTACGCTCTTGCATGATGCTGCGTTCAGGAGAAGCATGGAAAAAACCCCACTCTTACGCCAATACGGTCACAATGATGTGTTTAGGTACCGAAACATGGTACAGTTTGATTTTACGTGAATAGGTACTTGGTAATACCAACCGAATTCGGTGGGTACTTATAAAAGTATCAAATTCGGTACCCAACACTAGTTAAGTTTGTTCTGTTGATATCAGTACTGATGTAAAAGTCTTTCAGTGCATTAAATTCTGAATATTTGACTTTTAGGACAACTCAAGTCCAAAATGCAAACAAAGGAAACACTGCATCTCACTGCACTTTTCCTAAGCAGCATACAGCACAATTATTAACTGCATCACACATAAATACAGTTGAGAAAAAAACAATTCATAATTTTTTTATTGAAAATAGTCAACAATAATGATTTTGTTTATTGAGACACAACAATTTTGTATTCCATCTTGTGGGCACTTTGTTTCTACAAGCCTAAAGGAAGACATACCGATAAACAGATTTTTAAAATATATTTTTACAAGCCTAAGCAGATATTTCACACCACAAAGGTGACTCCAAACAAACTTGTAAAATGTCAGAGCTGAATGTGCACATTCAGATATTCAGTGTACAGCAGGAATGGGTAAAATATGTAACACATGCTCTTATAAATTTGTTGGGTTTGGGTGGTGGTCAGATTGAACTTTATTGTTCGGATACTGAAAGGCACTGCACATTTTGTTTTAACTACCAGAGGCTGATAGTTTGTATTTATCCTACCTAACTGTTTGAAAAGTATAGTTCAAAAGAGCAATTGGAGAAATAAAATTCACAAAATGTAGCTCACATTTATTCTCACTGACAAAATTCCTATTAACAGAAGGACTGGGATTTGGGGCATGACATAAAAAGATGGAAAACCACAAATCAGGCAGAGCAAAGTCTATGTAAGGCATAACAAATATTTTCTATCAGTGTACTGTACAGTAAAACTGAACTCCTGAACTAAAAGTTGAAATGAACAGGAGACAAAAAAGAGAGGGTTACCATTACGTGATAAATCTACAGGGAAGAATTTGTCTTTTTCTTTTTTAGACAAGCCAACTGCTGTTTCTGAGAATAGAGTTTAACCAAAACAGAAAACCCCTCCCTGTCCTCCGTCTCTGTTACTGAGGGCCATTCCGCAGCTCCAGCAAGCGGCTGCCTGGTAACCCCGTAAACACATTACTGTAGAACGCACGCACACACACACACACACACACGCACACGCACACACACGCACACACACAGCAACAGAGCCACCACAGAATTTCCAAGGGCCAGGCCATGATCCATGTCTTAAGATGTTCTGTTTGAGCCTCTAAGAATCGAGGCTTTCTTGTTTCTCAACACAGACGATCAGAGAGAGAAAATCCAGCGGAGGCTTGATAATGTTTGACTGCTTCTGTCGGGAGAGAAATGAAAGAGCTACAAGATCAGAGCACTAATCACAACTAGTATTGCTCTCCCTGCCTGGTTTTGTTGTGAACGTGAGCAGAGTGTGTGCGTTCAGTGAAAGCAGTTGTATTAATGATTAGCAGAAACAACACAGAGCAGTTATACCTCTGCAACGTGACACAATCCAGCATAGCACAGATAAAACTCGGGCTCAGACACGGGAAGAGTCGAGGTGCCATGATCACTCCGCAGAACAGACAAGCTCTCCAACCGGTGGCTTTATATGGGAAAGTATGACATAGTTATTTACAAATTCATAACCCTGTAAACACCAATTATGGTATCTGAGATGTTTTTGGAAAGAGTCATGCTTGTGATGTTTTGCAACTTGTTTAAAGGAGACACTGAAGTCTGAATAGGAATCGTACAAGGAAAGCAAAAGTTTTAATAAGAGCTCAAAGACTTTGTCACTACTCGAGTATTGGCATGTTTTATTTAGAGCTGGGCGGTATACCGGTTCATACCGAAAACTGTTTGTTTTTTTGTTATGATCTGAATTTTCCAAATATTGTCCTGGACCAGTTCTTCTGTGTTTAGCTGTGTCACTTTCTGCCCCTCAACCAGCCGGTCGAGGCAGATGGCCGCCTGTCCTGAACCTGGTTCTGTTGGAGGTTTCTTCCTGATTAGCAGGGAGTTTTTCCTCTCCACCGTTTGCTCAGGATGGGAGACTGTGATGAAGTGATTCATCGCAGTCTGCTGGCTTCTTCTTTAGATTGTTCTTTTTTATGTACAGTGCCCTGAGACAACGTATGTTGTGACTTGGCGCTATATAAATAAACTGAACTGAATTGAATTGAAATACTGGCATACCGGTTTACATAGCCTGAACACGTTCGGAACGTTACATCACTGGTGACGCTTTTCCGTGCAGAACTGCTGAACATGCATGCAGGAACTAGCATGCTACCAGCACAGGGCAGTGGTAGCAGCCTTCTCAATGACTGGCGGCAGGTAGAGATTTTATCACTTCCATTGGCTGACGAAAAACAAAATAACTCCCATCTTCGCCATGACTGAATGTAGAGTACACCTCTTCAGTGATGTGCAAATAAAGACTTCATGCATGATCTTTTCTCAACTCTCCTCATTCACAACTGTACTTGTCTCCCCTTACTGCYAACGTGACGTAAGCCCAGAATGCGCGACTAATGTCTACAGCCATGGAGGGAAGAAAAGAGAGGGAAAACGCAACACAGGGAGGYACCGTAAATAAAAGAAATAGTTTGTGTTGCAGAGAGAGAGAGTAACTTCAGCTGACTGCAGTTTGCTGATCAATATTTTTTACATTTTAACATCAGCCTGAGCTGTGATGAAAACATAAATAAATAAAAACATCATCCAGTAATACCGTTGTATGGATTATTGTTAAAAAAAAAACTGTAATATAAAAATTTGTTGATACTGCCCAGCACTATTTATATATATCCACAAGTTTCCTGAGAAGCTTATGTAGGCTGCCATGACAGTCACTAGCCCCGCCCACAGCCCTCCCCCACTGTTCGCTTCTTCCGGTACGCAAGAAATTCATTCATTCAAATAGTTATAACAACAAATTTAGTTTGTTTTTTCTTTAACTGGCAGCTTCAGCAGTTCAATCGTGAGTTCGTGATCGTGTGTATTTGTCGGCTGCCACAATTGAAGAAAACTGAGAAACGCTTTATAAACATTTTGCTTGGAACGAGACATAGTAAGGCATAGCGTCCTACAAACTGCATTTTATGCTGACAAAGGAGGATCGTAAACTAACATGGCTGGCAGCTTTAAATCTGAAAAACCCACAAAAGAGAGTTTCCTTGCTTTTTTCATTTTATCGACAAAAATTCCCATGGATATCATAGTCACTCCGATCCAGAGCTAAGGCTGGCTACTGAAGGCGTCTCGTCCGAACCAMTGWGAGTCAGACAGCTTCCAGCAATATCAACTAAAACCCTGAATCTGTACATGGTGACTTAAACTCTTAAATGTTGTGTTTCCCTTGTTGCTTTCTAATCATGCAGTTCTTTGCTTTTACTGAATGAAAGCCTACGGTGAATGGCGTCAGCATCAGCGCTAGCTACTGTTAGCCTGATTGTTCAGCATGTTATTTGCAACTAATCTTAACTTTAAAGAAATATTTTGCCTATGGTTAGCAGCCGCATGCTGGTAAAACTATATAAATGGCTTAATTTAACTGTCTCAATTCTGAGTAAGCTCYGAATAATAAACAACCCTCTTCTCAACTACGTGCTAAAATATTTTGTTTACATCATGGCCGGTTTAAAAGATGAGCTTAGCAGCGCCCAGGGGCTAYAAAAGTGTCCGGTTTGTTWAAATAAAAAATATGCTTAAAAAGTTAGAGGAAGTTTATTTATTTTTGTTTATCATTTATTTAAAATGATTGCAGCTGTATGAAACCCTCCAGTTCATCTCTAAAAGTTACTAAAGAACTAGCACCCAGTGAATTTTATGTTTAGAATAAGGGGGAGAAACTGTCTATTCACAATACTTTCATAATATTATTACAATTATGAGGGGCTTATGAACATTTTACTTCCCGAACGGTTGACATTTATGATTTTGGCTGAGCCACTGATAAAGAATTGTCCTTGCCGCTTTTTAAAACATCCTTGCAGTATAAAAACCTCCGATATGTGGCCATCTATGCCAAATTTAAATGAAAAATGCTTTGATAAACAGCGAAGGTCTATGCCCCTAAATGTCAACAACACTGCAACCGGAAAAAGAGAACAGTGCTTCCACTAT